TCAGCATATTGTTCTATTTGTCTTCTTATTTTATTCTTAGTATAGAYTTATTTATCTGATTTTAACTTTTAGATAAAATGTTGCTAAATTTAGCTGCATTCTGCTAATTTAGCTTCTAGCTATAGTCTTGAAAATCTGAGCTACAGTTTGTGAATTCTAGTTTTTTCTTTTTTACTACCATTATGTTACTATGAACCTTTAGCAGCAATTTCAGTTTGAGCTTTTAATTTAGCGTTTTAGGTAGCATTGCCATGAAAGAAAAGCTAACATAGCAACCTCTGCAGCTCTAAAACAAAACATCTTTTCTCCACGCTGCAACATTTTTGCTTCTCTCTCTCTGCTGTGTCACTAAATTGCAGGCTGTCACATCCAGGCTCATCGGCTGGTTGATTCATAATCAAATGCAATCAGACTCTCACACACAGACAATATGCACACTTTACACGCACACACACACATGCGCGTGCAGATGTTTTTTTTTTTTTTTTGTATCAGATGCAGCTAGTGTCTGATGATTGAATCCAGCAGTGGAGAAGCTCTCAGCGTTAGCGCTCTCCATCCCCTCATACTCACTTGACATCAGCTGCTCTCACTCGCTCCCTCCGCCTGCAAAAATGACTAATTCATCAGTGAAACACCAGACATGAAGCGGTGATGCACAACACTGTCTCTGAAGCTCTCACTGTGCATGTGCACAGACACACAAATGCACACAGTCATGCGCCACATGATGATGAGTTTACTGGAGGATTATCCAGGTTGATGAGCAGACTTGCTAAAACCCTTCCTGGGTTCCTGTGTGGCTCCTGTAATATTGTGTCAATTTGCAAATTAGAATTTCGTAGATTAGAATTAGAAGTAGGAGTAATGCGGGATAAAGTTGCTTTTGGCCTTGTAATCAAACCATGATGATACAGTGCTCTTTAAATCTCAAATCAGCAGATTTCTTAGTCAAACCAGCCATTTGTTGAAAGTTAAGTTTCATGACAACTTTTAAATGAATAGATATAATCACATCCTCATAATTTTCAGAGAAATATAAAAGCAGAATGGTTAGCTTTTGGTGGGAATGATGAGGCTGATTAGCAGAATGCAGCTGTTGTGCAAATCCATAGTTATTTTTATCTCATTTTGCCTAAACAAGTGTGTGTGTGTGTGTGTGTGTGTGTGTGTGTGAGTAAACCAGAGATAGCGCTGCAACTCTTCTGTCCACCTGATATGATGACTTTAAAATTTATTTCTCTTCTCTCCATTAAAATACACATGCTCTACAGGCACACATTTCCTGCTCACCAACTGGTAAGAAAAGACTTGACTGGCAACTTCCTTAACACTCGGYTGTCAAAAGGCTGTCAATAATGTAATTGCCTGTGAGCAGTGTGTGTATGTGTGTTCACTTATCCATCTATTACCAAAATACAAGAATAATTTAATACATTTTAATAAAACTCGCAGAAAGTAATCAGTGGATGCATAATTCTAACTGGTTATTATTATGATGTCTACCACAGCTAATCAACCTTAACAAATACAAAAATGGCTTTAACACGATGACACTAGCTGTGTTTCCATTGCAAATGTGCGCAAAACTTTGTCGATATTCTGTTAATGTCGAAAAACAGTTTTGCAACTGCAGTGTTCCCATTAAGTAAGAAATGCTATTAAAGTCACGTGTGAATACATTTAAGTCATTACAAAAATGGCAGCAATGAATGTAAACACATAGCATATTGCTACCGCAACACTAGCGCTCATCATCAGAGGAGACGTCGGCGTCTTTTATCGAGGCTTTCCAGTGAC